TATTACCTAGTGTTTTTCACTTTATCTTTTCAGATATATTTACATACTTTAATCCTTACTATTGTGGTACAATTACCTGCACTGTCCAGTACAGTGACTTGCCATATGTGTTTGTAGCCTAGGAGCAGTGGCTATCCCTCATAGCCCAGGTGTGCAGTGGACTGTCCCATCTAGGTCTGTGAAATATATTCTATGACGTTCTTACAGCAAAATAACCTGATGTGGCATTTCTCAATCATTGGTAGCCCATAACTTCAATTTGAAAAGCAGTTCTACACCATAAACATAGTTACCAATGTAAAGAAAATGAAGTAGATGCTAAAAGGAAAAGATGGTGTGTAGACCACGGAGACATGGCCTTTTTACTATCTTTCTTCGAGTGGCCACTCATCATCTTTACACAGTTGTTTCAAAGGTATATACGTTATTCACAGTAGAGAGAAAATTAAAGATTTGGTGACTGATGGAAGGGGACTTATGAATCTGCTTCTCCCACACAGATTCTGAACCAAGAACCTCAAGAAGGGTGGAATGTGGGTTGAAATATTCTCAGGGATGAATTTGTCTCCAACATAGGGGTTGATCATAAGGGCACTTGGGATAAGGAGCTAAACTTTGGAGTCCATTTGTCTTCTCGTTCCCACAGTCAGTGACCCAGACATCATGACATGGATAAGCCAACATCCTCTTTCTGCCCGTGACTGCCAGAATGTGCTCCAACAACAAGAAGAAACAAAACCAAAATTAAACATCATGTGTGTGGGACAACCTCTAAGCCTCATAACGAAAGTAAAGGTATGTTCCATATGGTAAGACAGTGTGGGCTCCATGGGGCAGAGAGATGACAATAGGGTCTAATTCCTAAAGCCCTCCACAGAGTAAAGGGCAGAGATCTGGGGTCAACATCTGTCCTTTCCCCTTCTTACACTCAGGATGGATCAAGCTTAAACTGAGAAGGGTGAGACTTCTCTGCATGTGAAGAGAGGCTTGTCACTTCTCAAGCAGTAGAAATCCATTCCTTAGACGATTTTGCTACTACAGTGCATCACTTCATAGTGTTTACTCTTGTGTGACAACAAAGTTACATCAACGTGTTCCTTCTCCCTGGCAGGAAGTTTCAGCTGCTCCAGCCATCTGCAGTGGGAGGCTGCATGGAATCTTGACCTGGGCAAAAGCAGGTTATACCCTGGGAAATGAGGGATTCTTTACAGAAATTTATGCCTATTCAAGATGGATCATGAAAATCATGGAATCCTATTGAGTTGCCTGTTCCCCATCCCCTCAGCCTGATCTCTTCATGTTTTCTACACTGGATCTACAACTCTTCATCTTTTCTCTTCATGAACATGGTTCAAGGGAAATATATTCAATAAAAACAAAAAGGCACCAGAAATTTGTCATGACTGCTGCTTTCTTTGTCATGTGAACTTTGAAATGAAGAGAAATTTAGCAACACCCCAACTATTTGTTCATTCATACAACAATCATGGTACCACCAACTATTTAATAATACACACTGCATTCGCTGGAGGTACATGCAAGGGTATGGAATGACCTTTGTCATTGGTTAGTCCATTCTTGTAGCAACTGTGATCATGGAGTTGAATAATAATCTCTAAGGGCATAAATCTAAGCATTTAGGTGGAATCACAGGAGGAACCACCATCAAGGAGGCAGACCATTGGGGAGGTATCAGAAAAGCAAATAAAAGTGTGAAAGTGTGATATGTTCTGGAAAAATACATGGAAATGAGTAACACCTGAAGGTAGAAAATAAATGATAGAGGAAGAGAAAGAATGTCGCAAGATTCCATGTATCCTATAACCGCTGGCCCCGTTCAAAATGTGAGTCTCTCTCGACCTGCTTTCTTTCCCAGCTTTGTTCCTGTGTCCCCCACTTCCTGGTGCTGATTCCTTGTCACAAATACATCTGTATTTGTGACACCATGATTGTTTTTTTTTAAATAAAGCCCTCAACTGAGCATTTCTTGAAATGTCTATAGCACTTAATAAGTCCATTGTCAATTGTTTGCCTAACTTCACATCAGCATTTCAGAGCATCTCCTCTATTCTCATACCTTGGATGCAATGCTCAATTTTAGCAGATGCCTTCTGGCTTGGGAGCAGGGGAGACATCATCTACGACAGCTGCCGCCACCAAATCTGCAAACATACCCATCTCCCCTAACTTCCTTACAGACTTGCTTTATTGATTATCTTCTTTTTTGGCTTGAATTTATTTATGCATGTATTTGTATGCATATATTTGCATGCATTGAATTAATTTATGCATGTATTTGAGCGTTTATCATTTCTATATGTAGGGAAACTTCAAGACCCTTCTAGTTATTTTGAAATAGATCATAAGATACCATACACTATTTTACCTCACTGCTGTAGAACATAAGAACAAATTTCTCCTGAGTGTTTTGGTACCTCCTATCTGACCTTTCCTCTCTGAAGATTTCTTCCTGCCATCACTTAAGCCAGATAAATCCTCTCAACTAAAATACAAAGACATGCTTCCTAGACCCGCTCCCTGACTGCTCTCTCTTCAGTTGTAGGTTTTCTGAAATATCTGCTCTGTGTCTCTGGTCTGTCTCTCCTTGCTGGTGTCTCTGCTCATACTCTGCTCTTTTGACCTGGTTTGTCTTTCCAGAGACTTCTCCTCATCTGTTCAGTTGTCTAGTTTCTACTGATCCTTCAAGTCTCAGAAATCACTTCCCAAAGGGGATCTTCTTTTAAATGTTTCTCTGCCCCACTTCACTTCCCACACCATGACATTCATGATGATGATTCTAATGACATCTGTCTCCTTAATTAGACTATGATACTTGAGCACAAGATCCTCATCTCCCTTACCATTAAATCATTGATATCTGAGAAAACACCAGCCCACAGGATACATTTGTATTAGCTTTCCAATGCTGCATTAAAATCCTCAGCAGAGACAGCCCGACTTCAAACATCATCACACAATTATCATTTTACAGTTTTAGTCCAGGCCAGACTTAGCTGGATTAACAAGCCTGCAGGGGAAGAATTTGCTTCTGCACTTATGCAAGTGGAAGAATTCATTTTCTTGTGTTTATATGACACAGGACCTTGACTCTCTGCTGGCTGTCAGCTGAAAGCCAGAGTCAGATCCTTGTGCTGTCCCTTAGTTTATAAAGGTTCCCAACCATTGTGTATCCTCAAAATGGCTTCCTAAACAGCTACTACTTCATCAAACCAACATTAAGATCCTGTATTTGCACACTAGCTACACACACACACACACTTTATTACATAATAACACAATAATGTGGGTGACACCCCATCACCTTGGCTACATTCTTGAATGTGGTGCTCACATTCAAGGGAAGGGGATTGTGTAGGGCATAAACATGGGGTTTGGGTCCATACCCCAAAAGATTCAATAATTTTTTGTCAAATCATGAATTTCTTGGCTCCTTATCTCCTATAAAGAATTAGGTGAGTCTTATGCTACACAGGTGAGGCTTATGTAAAAAAGCTTTCATTATGTGATCCCCACTTATCTATCTTCCTGAGAACTCTTTCTTCAACACTTGATTCTAGTTCCACAAACATGCCATATTGTTGTAGGTCTTCACATCTTTGCTAAAGTTTTACCCTCTCCGTGGGCTGGTTTTTCTCTTCTGTTTATATTACATGAGCTCTCAACCTTTCTGTAAGACCCAAGTAAAGTGTAATACCTGGGGACCCCTTTCTAACACACCATGTAGAATAGAAAGTACCTTGAATTTTGTACACTAAGGCACATACCTGGATTTAAAACAACTTCTCTCCAGCATTTTATGAAATTTTCCAAGCATACAAAAACACTAGAAGACTTAGAGTATGCCCACCAAGACTCTACCACTGAGTAATCTGTTCTTATTATCATCTTTCAGTGTGGTACACTTGCTGCAATCAATGAACCAATATTGATGTATAATTATTAAATAATTTCCTTTTTTTGGTATTGTCAAATGTATAATGTTGTGTATACCATTCCTGTATTATACAAAATAACTGCACTGTCCTAAAATTCCCCTATGATCAACCTATTCATCCATCTTTCTCCCCAAACCCTGGCAACCCCTGATCTGTCTCTGTAATTTTGCCTTTTTTAGAATGTCACTAATTGGAGTCATACCTTTTATATTCTTTTCAGACTGCCTTCTTCTCTTAACAATACACGTTTAAAAATTTTTCACAATATTTCACTTTGTGTCTGCACCGACCTGTTTATCCACTTAACTATGCAGCACATTTGGTTTTCTTCCAAGGTTGGTGATTTTGAATAAAGTTTCCATAAACATCCATGTGCAGACTTATTTGTGGACAGAAGTTTTCATCTCATTTGGGTAATAATAAGTGTCCCTGGTGGATTCTATGTCAAGGCCATGTTTCGATTTGTAAGTAAATGGTCACTATTTTCTTTAATGGTTCTATCATTTTGCACTTAGCAGCAATAGATTCCCAGCATCAGTTCAAGAGGTACAGAAAGAAAAGGACTAAGGTATTTCAAAGAGGAATTTAGTGTTAGGCAGAGGGAGCTATGTCAGTGCCAGAGGCCTGAGCACGTCCAGCCAGTGTCACACAAATAGGGCTGAGCATCACAGAGACAGGAGGGGTCAGTGTAGTTTAGACAGAAAACTGCCTGCAGAAACCAGACAGGACACGGCTGTGGAGACACTGCGAACTGAAACTTTGTCAGGTTATGTAATTTCTTGCCTGAAAGGGGCAGCTGGGGGGACCCAGGATTCCAGAAATCCTTTCTGCTGGGTCAGGGACAGAGTCACCAACCTTGTTTCCTTTCCCTCCAACAGCAGAAACCAACCCCCTCGTTTGACAGACGAACACCATTTTGGTAACTGAATCCTGCCACTGAAAAGAGTTTGGATCAGACTTTTATTTCAACCCTAGAGCTCCTCTGGCTTTATCTAATTTAATACTTTCCCCATCCTCCTCTCCTCGTTTTCCAGAGACTCTGAGATGAAACGTGTCCTGGCAAAAGGCTCTCCCATTGTCACAAAGCTCATCCTCATCTGGGCTCTCTCACACCTGTCTCGTGAGTATCTGCCCAGCTGGCTTTGTGCTCACCAAAGAGAAATCCTGGGGGAAAGTGAAACATGGGTCAAGACAGGAGGCACCATGGCAGACTTGAGACGTGGGACTGATTCTCGGACCCCACCAACTCTCTCCCTGTAACAGTGCCTGCCTGCCTGACCTGAGGTTGTTGGTGTGTATGCTTCTGGGGAGGCCAGGACCTTGACACCCCAACCAGAACCACTCCTAAGAAAGAGCTGACTCTGGACCTTTCTGGACCAGGATTAATGTTGGGGTGTGAGAATGGGAACGAGGCAAGGATTTCCCAATTCATGGGCACCGCAGAGCGTGAAACAGTCCTTTGTATTGGTCATTCTGCTTGCATTATTTTTGGAGAAAAGGAATAAGACTTGTGAAAGTATTCTAAAATTGGCAAAGAAAAAAGTGTCTTTAAAATGAGTTGATTTAATATTACATACACTAGATTCAGAAAGTATTTAAGAAAGCTTATTTGAAGAATATTTATTGTCACTTAAAAAGGCAAACACCTTTTTATTTTTTAAACAGATGTTTCTATCATTTATTGTTCATGTTTAGAACAAAATCAATTTATAGGTTTAGCTTATACTTAAAGGTATCAAGAGAAGGTTGGAGAAGCCTATTAAATAATTCTCCTTTGGTTTTTCAGTGACTATTGAAAAATCTCAGAATTTCTTGTTGATGTCTCTCTTTACAGTTGCCTTTGCCTATAATCCAGATTACACAGGTGCCATTACCCCCTCTTACTTGGTCTACTTGAAATCCGATTACTTGCCCTGCGTAGGAGCCCTGATCCACCCACTTTGGGTAATCACAGCTGCACATTGCAACTTGCCGTGAGTAATAAGCCACACTACTGTTTGGGTTTTCAGGTAGGACACTGCCCAGAACTATCTCCCAATTTAATGGGGTTAGAAAGATCTTTGAGGGGCATTCAGTGGCAGAGGAAAACATCGGTGGGCTAGTGAAGGCCCAGAGGATGGAGAAGCCACCTATGTTAAGTACTGTTGTGAATATCCATATCATTCCAGGAAGCTCCAGGTGGTGTTGGGGATCACAAACCCTTCAGATAGCAGGGAACGTTATGTGCAGGTGGTCGGCTATGAGAAGATGATCCATCATCCTTATTTCTCAGTCTCATCTATCCAAAATGACATCATGTTAATCAAGCTGAAAAAAGTGATTAATCTCAATAACTATGTGAAACTGGTCAAACTGCCCAACCATCCTGTCCGTGTGAATACCATGTGCATGGTCACCACCTGGGGCTACAACATTTGTGATGTCTGTGAGTCTGTAATAGGTGTGGTGTCTGCTGAATTCAATGGCATTCTCTTGAAATCAGCCATGCTTCTGAGCGCTCTCATCTCAGCTTCTGCAATTCTGCTAAATGAAGCTTTTCCCAGGCCTCCAAATTCATCCCTTTCAGATCATTCCCTTTCCCTTTCCATTACTCAAGGAATCCTTTAAGCCATTTTCCTGCTGTATCTTTTTATCATCTCTGCTCTCATGCATGATAGAAGTGGTTTCAGTGGAAAGAAGACATACGTGTCTAGTCCTAATATCATTTTATCTTGGAACTTCGATTTCCTTAATGCTAAAGTGAAACCCAACACTAAGATGTTTTCAAACCATTTTAAGCAATAAAGAAACTTAGAGCCTTGAAATACCAAAAAATAAATAAATAAACAAATAAAAATAAAATATAAGCACAAGAAATATACTTAATCCTGTGCTAAATCGGAACATCCTTATGCAAGACTGCAGGAGATGACCTAGTTTAACTTACAAAGTATTTTAAACTGAGAACATTCTAGATAGTATTCATTTCTTCAGAAAACTGTCAAACTAAATATTCTACCTAAGCTTTCTTCTATGTCTTAAAATTAAAATTTCCCGAAAAAAAAAAGTCAAGTTAACATAGCTTTCTGTTACCTGTCTGCCAGCTAGCTTAGCCCAAAATTTTCATGCAAATCCTAATAGACTGTCAGTAGCTATTCATTTAAACACATTCATAAGGAGACAGGCACTTGTATCATAAGAAATTGTTAATGTGGTAACCTGTATCCAGGTCATCCTGACTACCACAGTTGTCCTATTCACACAATATTTCCTTTCTTACGATAGAAGGAGAAATAAATTGAAAAAGAGAGAAAGTAAAACTGATTCGGTATGTAGGAAAACTGTTGAGGAAGTCCAACTTCTCTCTTTTCTGTAGCCAAGGAACCTGACTCACTGCAGAATGTGAACATCTCTGTAATCTCTGAGAAAGATTGTCAAGGAGGCTACAGAACCCAAACCATCAAGCAGAATATGTTCTGTGTGGGCATCGTGCCAGGAAGGAGGGTGCCTTGCAGGGTAAATGTTCTAATTACTTCTGCCTTAACTTCCCCCGTCCTTGTGGAAACTGTGGAAGGTAACCTGATTTTCTTTCTGCTGGCAGGAAGTCTCAGCAGCCCCCGCAGTCTGCGATGGAGTACTCTACGGAATCCTGTCTTTTGCAGATGGATGTGTCTTGAGAGCCGATGTTGGCATCTATGCTAGTATTTTTCACTACTTGTCCTGGATTCAAAGTACAATCCAAAACAACTGAGGGTTCCACAGCAGGAATTCCACAGCATGTGACACAGCTTCTCCCATGTCCAACCTCAGAATTAATTAAATGGATTCCTGGGATGGTGCCATGTATAACTCTTACTTGTTCACTCATACACAGCGACCTTTCCTCCCACATAAATGAAGATGGAAAACTTGAAACTTCTTAGACCATTTGGGTTATTGAAGTGGACATGCCATTCTCTCCAACAGACAAAGGGGCCACTCCATTGTCACGTGGGGTATCCCACTTTCTATTTCTTCCTGAGTTAGATAATGTGTGTTTTTGGAAACTTGACACAACAATTGGAAAGAGGCATTCTAACAAGGAGTGGGCTAAATAGAAGAATGGGTGGGGAGAAGTGTTTAAACATGGGGATTGTGAGGGCATTGCACTTCATTTCTGTGTGTCCACATAGGATTCTACACCAGGCACCGATAGATTTCACCCAGTCTTTTTGCAGGATTCTGGGTGTCTACTTGAGACAAATGAGGTTGCTATAAAAGTTACTTGGGGTTTGTGATGTGGCAGACAAACAGAATCCAGGCCAAATTTTCTTAATGCAAGCTTGCCTCTTATATTATAGCATTTGGCCTAGAAGCTCTACTTTCTCCTGGCTGTCACTCTGTCTTCTTTCTTTCCTGTTTACTTTTCTTTTCATCTCAACTCTGCAGCTTTGGTAACCACCAGAACATTTTAATGTGTAGGTTTACAGGAGAGAGTCCTGTGGCTATTTGACTGAGGGTTAACAAAGCAGAAGCAAAAAACAGGTTCCAGTGAGTTCAGCCTATGGCCCCTAGCTTTTCAGTACAGCTGGGGGAGAAGAAAACCTGTCTCAGGAAACCCAAGTTCCAACAATACATTGTCTTCTCAAAGGTTCTAAAACCACCGAATCAGTTATGCCTAGCTTGGGATGCCTAGAAGAAGGGTTTTTGTGTATGAATTATTAAGCAACAATTATGAGAGCTTCACATTCATATATTTCATTAACTAAAATTTTAGTTATTGGAGAAACAAGTGGCATTGAAATGATTTTGCAAGAGACCACCTCAACCTCTGAGGGTGTTTCTCAGCTTGAACTGGTGCAAAGATTTCAACAGGTCACACTATGCTGTATAAGACCAGTTGATTCTGGGTAGCAACAAATGTGAGGTCCCTGAATTCCACGGACCTGGGTGCCATCCCCAGGTTTCACCATGAGCACTAGGAGGGGACTTCCTTAGTTGCTGAATATATTCCTTTTTTTTTTGTGAAATGCATAAACATTCACGTAATTTGAGGATGGGGATGCTAGGGCAGTGGTGATAGTGAAGACAAATAGCTACTATGCTATGACAGAAAGGCCCCCCTTACCTCCACGTGGCAGATGGGAAACACGGGATACAGTGGTAAACTGATGTTGATAACTGATGTAGGTTGTTGACTCTAGGTCTACAAGAATAGTGGTATCAGGGTCAGACTTACAAGAAGTCTTTGATACTCAGCCATGCACGTGGTCCACTTGTCTCTATTGTTCACTGTTCATGAAGCTCTTTCACAAGCATTTGGAAGCATATGGAGGAAGTTGAGAGCAGACTGTCCTGTCCAATGGATCACCAAAATCTTCTGAAGAGGAGTATTTAATGTGAGAATTCTCAGGGAACACAATTATTATCCTGCTCCAAGTTGACCTTGAAAAATTCTACTACAATACACAAATCTTCCACAAAGAATTTGTTCCCATTCCTCCCATCTTGCTCTTTCTGAGTGCCTATAAGGACAGAGCCCTAGCAACTCCCCAGAAATTTATATAAATCTTAATCTCAGGAAAGAGAACAACTGGATATGTTAATTGAACTTCTGTCTCCTAAGAATTCCACTCATTTTCCTAAAGCATCCCTGGAAGGGGTGGTCCTATCATGGTAGCACACATGTAATTGGTAACAATATATCAAGCAAAACCAAACTCTCAACATCACTAATCATCAGGTGAACACAAATCACAAATACAAGTAGATATCACCTCACTTTTGTTAAATGGCTGTTCTCAAAACCAAGAAGGATAACAAGTGGTGGCAGGGATGTGGAGAAAGAAGAACATTTATTCATTGTCAGTGCAGTCATTATGTAAAATATTATGGAGGGCCCTAAGAATTAAATTTAGTTACCATAGGACATAATAACCCACTTTTAGACATATATCCAAAAGTCTGTACCTTGAGGGGAATATCTTTACTTCTGTGTTCATTGATGCATTATTCACAATGGCCAAAACATGGAGACAAACTAAATGTCCATCAACAGATGAATAGATAAAGGAAATATTAGCCTTAAAAGAATATTATCCTTGAAACAGGAGATACTTCCATTTTCAATAATGAAGCCAGATTTCAAGATAGGTAGTTAGTGTAGCTAGGTAAATCAGGTCTGATATACAGTTTAATAGAGAAAAATAGATTCCCATCTGAGTCTGGGAAATCAGAAACTATACCTGGGAGATTGAAATGTTAATGTCCCCAAGCCCTCCCCCCCACACACAAAGAACTATTAATGAGGCAGCTCCCAGCAGATAGGGAGGTGCTAATCAATTCCACCTGCCTTCCCACCTGCCTTCCCACTTGCCTCCCTCATCATATGCAGGATAAAGGAAAATAAGCAAGATAAAGGACAGGCATAAAGACCTTAGATATAAAAAGGGATGAGACTTTCTCAACCCAGGGATTCTGCCTTTAAGGTCCCTTTCTTCCTGGGTGGGTGGTGGGGGGAGGGCTTCTCTGCTGTCCTTTAGTAAAGCCTTTTACTTTCCACTCTGCACTTGCCTTGGTGTGCTTCTCGGGTGTTATACTTCAACATTCTGGAAGCAAGGACTTGTCAAGGTAAGTATCAATAACATGGATCAGCCTGAAGAGCTTTAGGCTAAGAAAACATTATGTTAAGAACCTGGAGAATATTATGTTAAGGCACAGAAAGACAACGGCTGCATGTTCTCATGTACATAGGGGAACTAAAATAGTCAAACTCTTAGAAGCATGGAGTGGTTCCAGGGCCTCCGGGGAGGGAAAAATGTTAGTCGATGGTACCAAAAGTTTCATATATATCAGATTAATGAGCTTGGAGGTTTAATATTCATGGTGACTATAATTAACAATGTTGTGTTGCACCCTTCCTTGAAATTTCTAAGGTGGTACATCTTAAGTGTCCTCACCACAGGCACACACAAAAGGTTAACTGTGAGATGATGAGTATGTTGATAAGCTTGAGTGTGGTGGTCATTTCATCATCAAATCACACACTTGAAATATATGCAATTTCTAGCCCAGCCACGATGGAAATTAGTATGGAAGCTCCTCAAAAGACTAGGTATGGAATCACCAGGTGACCCAGTTAATGCCACTTCTCAATTTTCTCCTGAAGAATTGAAGTCATCTTAATACAGTGAAACATGCATACCTATTTTTAAAACAGCACAATTCACAACAGCCAAACTACAGAACCAGCCTAGGTCCCTCAATGGATGAATAAATAAAGAAAATGTGGCATATATACACATTGGAGTTTAATTCAGCCATAAAGAAAAATGAAATCATGGCATTTGCAGGAAAATGCATATAACTAGAGACCATTCGGTTAAGTAATATAAATCAAACTCAGAAGGTTAAGGGTTGTATGTTTTCTTTCATGAAGAAGCTAGAGAGGAAAAGGGAAAACAAAGTTAGTGTATATATACTAAAAATCAAAGAGAGATCAGTAAAGGAAAGGGACTTCAGGTGATGGGGGGCGGGGCAGGGAGCAAGTGCTGGGGAATAATACTGGCCAAATTATATTGATGATATATTGTGTGTATATATGAATATGTAACAACCAGTCACAATATGTACAACCATAGTGCACCAATAAAAAATATAGAGGAAAAAAATCAAAATGCTATCCTTTTGGGAATACATATATAAAATAAATTTTATTTTTGAATTTCTACTGTTTTGAACAAAATCAAATGTATTTATCAGAAAACAAATGTCTTTTCTTTGTCTCTCTTTCCCAGTCTTTTGATTTGTTTTTCAAAATAATTATTAAGTTGTTAAAAATCACAGGTAGGATTTGCTTTGACTACAAAGTGCACATGAAAATTTGCTTTTGCCTGTCCCTTTATGCCCCTAAATCCCTATGTCTATTCATCTATTTGGCACATCTGTAGTCTCTTGAGCCCCATGTCAGCATCTCAAAACAGGGGGCCAGTCCTATTTTAGTTGAGAGAATTCAAACATCCTCCTGGCTCCAGTGACTCGTCACCAAGCCACGCTTGCTGTTACACCTTCCCAGTAAAACAATGGGACTTCTGTTCTGTTCATGCAACCATGCAACGAAGTCCCCCGTTCATCCCAGTTCTATTACTACTACCTTTGTCTTGACAATCTTGTTTGACTGCCCTGCTTTTACAAGTAATACAGTGAAACATGCATACCTATTTTTAAGACTCTGCCTTATCTCCCCAGAGGATTCTGAAATCCCCTGTGGGCACCAGCACCTACTGCCAGCCTTCCCAGGGACTAACAGCTAGTTTCTTCCTCTCCACGCAGCCTCTCCTCAACCTGCAGTGCCCTTGCTCACCACGTGGCCTGGACTCTGCCAGCTTGCCCTTCCCCCTCATTCCAATAGGCTTTGGTGAATGGATTCCCTTGTGTAATTTCCATCCTCCCCACTCTTTGATCTCTGCCATCAGCACCTCCACTGAGAGCTCATCCAATTCTTAAATCATCTATTACCTCTGTTTTCACCAAGACCAAAAGACTCAAATCCATTATAATACGAGTTTTTAAAAGAGCACTCTCTTCCACCTTTAGCTAACTTAGCCTCTTTGGTCCTGCTTTCTTTATCTATAAAGTGGGACAAATCATATGTCTCTGTATTGTTGAGAAGGAAAAAGAGGACTCACCAAAGTCATGTGCCATGGTATTTAGTACACAGCTGGCATTCAATAAGCCTTTGCTACAGGAGGATTGGGGAATCTGTTACCATTT